CATCATAATATGTAGACTCGTCAAAAGTAATATTGAGTTCTTCAATCTTTTGTGCTTTTTCTTCTCATTTCTTTTACATCTCATGAAACAATTCGTATGGGTCTACTTCATGGATTTCATCTATCTTTGTTACTTTAGTATTCGAAATTGACCCAACACCATTAACCTCAACAAACTCTGTGTACAACTCCACTTTAGATATAGAGTTGACACAGAATCATCCCAGCAATGTAAACATCATTGTTGAGATAAAATTTTGTGCATGTTGTGGGGAATTTAAAATGCAACGAAGATATCTTCCATTTCTTCCTTGTTAAACCTTTTTTAGTATCTTGATGATCAACTCGTCTAGTTAAATTTTTTTAAGGACATAATGAAAGATTTGGAATGATAAAGAACAATTGCAGAGAAAATAGATATTGCATGTTAAGATGAGATTTAGAAAACCATCAATACGACTCTCAATAGTGCACCTTAAAATATATGGAAGTACATCATATGGGAGAGTGATTAAGAATTTTTTAGATTCAATGTGGATTAACTGAATGAGTATGGACCATAAAAAATGTTACTTTTTGTCGATAGAAAATGATAGGTTGAGAAATGAGGTTGTGAGGACCATAACCAAATTTATATAGAGAGAGATGGATGAGGTAAAAAATGTGGAACATAATGATTGATGTGCAACAGGCTTTAGGTATGTCATGCAATGTTCATCTGACAAGGTTTTTCAATAGAAGCGTCTTTCATTTTAATTAGAACTTCCGATGGTTAGGTGGCCATCATGTCCACAGGATTTATGAGAAACGTCCAAATTGTCAAATAAAATAATTCTTGTTTCTCATATGAATAAATGAATAAAGATAGTAAAGACAAGTAGGATCAATTCGCATGGATTAAAAAAATTGATAATGTCATTTCCTGAATTGAATTAACTGCAAAAATAAATGAATGAGGCTTTAGCAATAATAAATATAAAAGTAACAAGGTAAAAATAAATGATAAATTAAAAATAATGAAAGGTGAAAAAGAAAGTAAATAAGGATAAAAGAATTCAATAATGGTGATTTAGCCTTAGGTTTCACTTAGACTCCATTTCAATCGATCATCGAAATATGTATTCTCTCCTGGATTCATGAAGGTTATAGTCAATAAGGCCAACCCTTGTAGCTAACTTTCTTCACCAGTAACAGTAAACTAATGTTTCCAAGTCTATCTCCAAAACGCAATACTTGTTGGACTAACCACTTCTATCGCCATTAGATCCATAACACCTTTAAGTGCTGGAAAAGCCCGACTCGGATTATAGTGTCTCACTAAGAATCAAACCCGATCTTGGATTCTCCTTAGCAAATCGCCACTAAGTTTGTTCACAAGAAGTTGAATTATTTACAATCGATTCTTCCTTCCAATAGTAAATCAAAACAACATTCAAATTAACGACATCTTTTTGAAATGAAAGAGTTAAGATAATTAAAGGAATGAACGATTACCAATCTTAGATTTCAAAGAATCGAATAATGTATCTGAAGTTTTTAAGTGCTCAACACTCACAGTTAGAATTGAGTCATCGTAAAAACCTTTGGCTAAGTGAAAGTTTAGCTGAACATGGATTCAAACATGCTTAGATTTTTTTATGGAAAATAAAAGAAGAAGAAAGTAAAAGAAAAAAAAATAAACTTTTAGAAAAATAGCCAATGTAAAAACCAAAATCCAATATGTGTTTCAATGTTGAACATAGGGGTATTTATACCAAAATCTAGAAGAAAATAACTAAAAGATAAATAACAATATTCAAAATAAAATCATAAATTTAAATCTAAAAGGTTTATCACAAAGATAGAGATAGAACATTTAAAATGTGTGGCTCGGATTGAACTCTGTTTTATCTTCTTGATAACCTCCATTTTGTTTTAGCTCGGCAAATAAAATTTATCAATAATTTAGCAAATAAGAGCCTCATTAAAAACCTCCCAACCTAGATGGAGGAAAAGAGTATTCAAAACTACGTACAAGGAACAAAAACAACCAGGTGTTAACAATATCATTACAACGAGAAGTCAAAACCAAATGCCAGCCAATCTCCTTACACTTACAGTACTAAGAGAATCTAACAATAATACTACAGAACCACATCTAGGAGGGTTCCTACATTAAAACTCAAGTTGTGATCCTCGATAAACCACCTTACCAGAGAATCACTGCCCGGCTTAGAATCAAACACAGCAATAAATAAATTGTATCAACAAAGAAGAGCAAACAACGACGATCTCTAACCCCTCAAGACACAAGAACTCAATCACCTGATTACACAGACTCCTTGAAAATAACTCGGCTAACCACCAATTCCCCAAGGTTCCTACAACCAAGCTGTAAGGAATATTGTAACCTACCGCACCAACCACAATAACCAAGATCACAGTAGTCCTTATGGACATCACGAAACAACCAAGCCTACTACTAAACAGACATCAATAACCAAACAAAATCAGAAGAATCACCATAACGTTATCGCATAATAATAACAATAACTTCCCACCCTTCAATCTAGGAATATTGAGACGGTTTAATAAACTCCTCGAAAGTATCTCACCAACGCCAAGAACTCAAAGACGGGATACCAACCATATCAACGCCACTTGGGAATCTGTCTCAACTTCTTTATCTTAAAACTTGAAAAGGGTTATGCAATTCGCCTTGAAAAAAGTCTCATTTAGCAACCTGTTTTTCATCAAAGACGAGGCATTCGAATGGAGTGTATAAAAACTCAAAATTTTCATCTCCCAATTTCATTTATGCAGTTGAACAACAAAAATGTTGACATTATTCCCCAAAATTCACCAAACTTTCACCTACACACTGCTTTGACTTCAAAAGAAAAGCAACATCAACCCCCCAAAAACCAGCTTCAGCAATGGCTACATGATCCACTAATCCTCTATAAATCCACCCGCTTCAACTTTGTTTACTCCAAAGCAGCTAACGATCCAAAACCAACTTCATCAATGGCTACAAGATCCACTAATCTCCACAAAATTGACCCAGCTCAACTTCGCTTACTCAATTTTATGTGAATTTCCATGCGCTTCTGACAAAGCTTGATTCCTGAAATAAGAGGCGATATCCACCCAAAAGAGACAAAAGTCAGACTCGTCTAAAGTCTCATCTTCACACTCATGCGGCAACAACATTTCAACTCTAAACTGCTACAAAAACAAACAGCAAACAATAGACTTTGCTCCCACCTAAAAACGTATAGCAAACCTATAAAGAATTATCATCACAAAACTACTAACTACCAGTAGACCCTACACGATTCAACCCATCTTTAATTCATTTCTAACAATGCTAATTCCTTCACCACCTCCAGCTCCTCGCCGGTTATCTGGATACCTATGTTTTTTTCCCAAAGCCAAAGTTTCTCGGCTTCTTTATACGCAGCCAACAATCTACCTTTTAAATCTGAATCAGATAACAACCTTCCTGATAACTCTGAGGACTCCAAATCTTTTATCTTCAATTTGAGCTTCTTAAACGCTTGATCCCTTTTTATTCTACTTGGAACCGACAAAACTTGATATTGTAGTTTCAAAAGAGATTGTCCAAATCATCCAAAACAAAATCATTCAACCCCTTTATGTCCTTAAGAGCCCTCGATTTGTTATCTTATAACAATTTTTTATCGTTCTCCACTGGACCCACAAGTTTTTCTATTATCTTTCGGCTAACTAAACCAGCAGTTGAAAATGAATTCTCACCAGCCACTCCTTTTAGATTCCGCAAGTGATTCATAACATTAGTTGCAGGAGAATCTTTTCCACTACTCATATTGAAACCATCACTACTCTTGACATTCTTGCCAGCTTCTCGATTATTTTCAATGCACTCCTAAGAAAAGCTTTAACCTTCCCTATTGATCCTTCAACTCTTTTAGCATCAACTTCAAAATGACAGCCCGACTCTCCACCAGACTTGGAACGATTTTTGTAGCCAAGTTTTTCAGTCGAAAGCCCATCTTCAGAAACAATCACTTCTTTGACCCAACTTGAATCTAGCCCAGCCAACCCAATATGGTCGTCACCCTTTGACCCCTTTATTGATTCGCAGTTTCCATCAGTACGAGAAGGATCCTGAGCTACCATAATAACTCCTCCACCACTCAATTCTGATTCCTTCAGAAGGCGTGTTTTCTCGGGTGAATGAAGGTCATCATTTCTATTGAATTCGTTCCTAAAGCAACACGCAATTAATGCAACATCCCTCACCTCTTCAGTTCTCTCAACCTTAGCCGAAGACGCGCAGAGTTATCATCTTCTGGTGAGTTCATCTGGAAATCCTCCTTATGATCATTCGAACCTCCCTTCAATTTTTGTTTGATTCCCCATTGATTTGATTTTCCAACATCATCCAAAATACCGATTTCCAATACTCAAATCTAGTGAATATAGTTTCCAATTTTAATCTCCACTATTTCATCAATCCTCTTATCTTAGTTTGTAGTTATCAGAATCGTTACGTTCTCACAATCGATGGAATGATTTGCATTCTCACCTAAAGATTCAAAATTTCCCCATAACTCTGCCACCCTTTTAAGGGTAATATGATTCCAGCAATGCAATGAGATACCCAAAACCTTAATCCAGGTCGCCCTCTCTGTCTTATCCAACGATTCTAACCAGAGATCGACCTTCGAGAAGATTTCTTTCAGATATGACCAGTTCATGTCTTCTATCATGAACAATTCGTCATCTTCAAAGCTTAGTAGAAAGAATTTACCTCCAATAGGCTGGACTTTGATGCTCTGTATTCCTCATTTCTGCAAACGAAAAACTAATCTCCCTCACGCTGCAAACCGTTGACATCCTGTCCACCATGCATCTTTTCTATTTCCACAAGACCTCTTTCTCTAGAAAGCCTTTTATTCACTTCACTGAACTCACCTCATTTCTGCCCAACCTTCCACCTTCTTTATTTTTAGCCTGAAAATTACAAATTTGTTCCTACTCTTGGTTCAAGTTCCTTTGAAAAGCCTCCTTAGATGCCTCTGCTTGATTAAAACCCCCTCCCCATCTCCTTGTCTCCCTGTCAGCGTTTCTTAAACCTCCCTCTCTTGATAATCCTCTAGACTTTTCAAATTGAACCGATAATTTGAAACCGTTTAGAACAAAACTGTTAAGCTTCTCCATACCACGTTCTACCTCTACCTTGCTTCCAAACCTAACAAAACCAAGCCGCTTACCTCTTCTTCTTAGCTTATTTGCAATGAACGCACCAGTGACATTCCCATATCGAGCAAATATGAACCATAGACCCTTCCAATGTAATGCCCTTGGGATATTTTTCACAAACAACGAAACTACATGAGTTGCTGCTGAATCGTTCATCTTTCATAAGTGGTTATCTTTTTATTAAATCTTGCATCAATTACAATTTTTAAAAAATAAAATATATTCAATTATAAGTCAACTACTCCTAGATTTATTTGAGTAGTTTAAGTGTACTTCTACTCCAGAATTGTGGGTTAAGGTTAACACAGACGGATCAAGAATGGAGAGTACTAGTATGGCTTCTTGTGGGGTGTTGTTCGGGATCATGAGGGAGTATGGATGATTGGATTTAAGAAATTTCTTGGTATTTGTTCTGTTCTGAAGGCGGAGGTCGGGGAGTTTGCGTCGGTCTCCACTGCACCTGGAATATGGGTATGCGAAAAGTGATTGCCGAGACGGATAGCTTAAACGCTATCCGCTTAATTTATGATCATCAAATGAGAAGTAGGTCGTTAACTATTGTGGACCATATTTATGGTTTAATTGATCGTCATTGGGAGGTTCGATTCCAGCATGTTTTGCGATAAGGGAATAGTGTTGCTAACAGGTTAGCGAGAAGTGCAGGTCCTAATATAGGTGAAGCTCAAATGCTTTGTTCTCCCCCTGCTGGTATCATTAACGTGTTGCATGAGGATATTGATTAAAGCATGGTGTTGAAGTTGCTTTACCAAAAATTCGAATTTGTCTATAAGATAATGCAAGATCACCTTCCAGAAGATGCTGACTGAATTACCTAAATCTGCCACATTGAAAAATGTCATGCCCAAATCTTTCCCATATCTCCAGCCACGATTCCTAAAAAAATTACAGATTTTGTCTCTCACAGTTGGTTCTGGCCAATTTATCCAAATGAAGCTCTTAAGAGAAAATAAGCCAAAACAGAGGATAAATTAGCAATACCCAATCGAAAACAAGGAGTAAATAACAATAAATGTTTGCAATATTTAACACCCATCAATTTTTTTTCATTTTGAGTACTTTTCATGGTTGTAAAACCCTTGGACTCTCGCTGGGTGAACAACATCTGCAATTTAGTATATTACCCTTGTTCATCTAATAATGCTTTATGGCAGAAGTGCCTTCCCTTTCCATCAGAACATCATGTGGTCAGGTGACCATCATGTCTAATAGGATTTGGTCATTTCTGACTGTTCAAGGTTTTATAATCTTGGATTCTCACTTATTGAACAGTGCCTACACTCTATTAGAGTTTCAATACTCGCCTAACAATGTTTTCTGGTCAAAGCACCTTTCATTTTTATCAGAACATCAGTGGTCAGGTTCTCGTCATGTTCATCAATATTTGATCATTTTTAGCACTGTCCATGGCTCTATAACCTTAGATTTTTATCATTTGAATGGTTATCAGACTCTAGTATAGTACCATTATTCATCTGATAGTGCTTTCTAGTAGAAGCACCTTACTTTTTCGTTAGAACATCAGGTGGTCAGGCGACTGTCATGTCCATCAAGATTTATTCATTTCTAAAATTGTTTATGGTTGTATAACCTTCGATTCCCACCATTTGAATACTTCTCACACTCTAGTAGAGTATCATTATTCATCTGACAATGCTTCTTAGTAGAAACATCTTTCTTTTCCATCAAAACATTAGTTGGTCAGATGGTTTTCATGTCCATTAGGCTTTGGTCATTTTTGGCACTATTCATGGTAGTATAACCTGGATTCCCTTTGGATGAACAATGCCCACACTTTAGTAGAATACCATTATTGATATGATAGAGCTTTTTAGTAGAAGCAACTTATCTTTTTGTTAGAACATCATGTGATCAAGTGGCCGTCATTTCCACTAAGCTTTGTTTATTCCCAGCATTATTCTTGGTTGTATAAGGAGAACGATTTCTCCTCTTAACACACAAATAGAAAGACTTTTTATCTATCATAATTTGACTTCATCACTTGCTTTCCAATATCATACAAGTGTTATTATTATTTTTTTACATTTTTTCTTAGAAAAAATAATGTGGCTAACATTTCCATATTATAGGGTAATTTGCAAACATTGGGAATTTTCAACAATGGTAAACATGTTATCTATTGTTATATATTATGATGGTCAAATACTTGAGATTGATATCAGTCTCATTTTTTACTCAACAAACTCAGTTAGCATATTATTTAGGAGGTAAGTCAAACTAGCTGAGTTCATAAAAAATACTTTTATGAAAGTTTGAGCTGGTCGGACCCGTCATTTATCATCCTTGAAGTATATATTGGTGACATCATACCAACAATTGTATTATACAAAATTTGATCTTCTAAATGATGATGATGTTGATAAGAAGCTTGACACCCATAATTATGAATGCAATATGAGACTTAGAAATCTATGCAAATTTTGTTGATGTTGAAGTAGGTGGTCCAAGTTGGCACAAATATCATTTTGGGATGGTAGACAAAGTTGAAAACCCAACACAATGATTATGAAATGAGTTCATATCATTACTAATAAGTAATGATCGAGGAGAATCATCTTTGTAATACCCTAAAAGTTTTATTAGTGACCAAAGTATAAATTTGAGAAAAGTTCAGACACCAAAATGGTAATTTTACCAAAATAGATATTTTTATCACGTGAATGAATAGTTTACCCCCAATAATGACATTTTCTATTTGTATTAAAGGTTACAAAGAGTTAAAGTTCGAGAAAGATTGAATAATCGGATCGAATCAAATATTTTAGATATTTTTTATATGATAAGGCAGGGGAAATAATGTCATTTTCATGCCTTAAAATGATAAGATTTAATATGGACAATTGGATTTGATTTGATTTTCCATGTTAAATCTAAGTCGTTGGATGAAAAATGACAAGATTGTAATTATGGATTTTTACAAGGGCAAAATTGATAACTACTACCTCCATGGATTAATCTTAGCCCTTAGATGAATATTTTGACATGTGGAACATTAGTGAGCATTGGATTTCATGGATAAAGTGGTCATTTTAATAATAAAAGGAATTTTAAATTCATTTTATTTAAAAGATGGCAAATGACTTTAATAAATGAATTAGAAATTTCAAGAGAATTGTTCATCTTTCTTACAATTTTCATGGGTTTCCAAAATCCTCCAAGGCAAGTTTAATTTGATTTTTCGAGCTTTAGGAATTGGATTTTTGAGTTAGATGTGAAATACAATTTTGTTCTTTTTTGAATTCTCTTCAATTTGGTACCATTAGTTCATGGTTTTGATTGGTACCATTAGGTTTTATGGATGGAATTGAGTTAAGGCTTGAATTTGAAGGATTAATTGATTATATATCTTTTTCATGCTTGTATCAAGATGAATTTTATGTATAAGTTGATATAAAAGGTTCGGCCATGAAGGAAAATATTAGGGAAAAATTATTCAAACATGTTTTAATATTTCTCATGAAGGATTAATGGTTGTACAAGCTTTAGAATGTTGTTTGAAATAAAAAAAAATCAAGTGTGAACACATGATGTTATATTCGGCTATTAAGATTTTCAATTAGGGGTTTAGAGTCTGATGAAATTTAAGTGTTCATGTTGTTTACCATCATCTTAGCTTCATTTTGATGGTAAAATTATTAAATTTGGATTTGAAATATGAAAACCCCTAATTTGGTCCTTGAAACCCTAAGAGAGAGAAAATAAGGTTTTAGTGAAATTTTGGTATTCAAGGTTAATTTGAAGTGTATGAAGTGTAATTAGTTTTTAATGAGAATCGAAAGAACTTTTAGAAAATTCTTTATATTTGTACGCATGGTTAGAATGGATTCTAACATATGTCTTTGATTTTAGTTGTTATGTATGGATTTAAGTGAACCATAAATCGAGGTGAGTGAATAACAAAGGAAAGGAAAATAACACTTAGGGTGTGTTTGGCTCACGGAATGTAAGATTACCAGTGGGAATAAAAGATTACCAGAGAATAGGATTACTGGGAATGTTACATTACTGTGTTTGGTTGGTTTGACAGGAATGTAAGATTACAGTGTTTGGTTGAAGGAATAAAAGATTACTGGAATGTATATTTTACCAAATTGTCCTTGTTCTATATTTTTTAACAAGTGAAATTCTAAATACGTCTTTGAAGTGCATGCACATTGTCAATAACTAAAAAAGATTTTAAATAAATATTACATGATAATCACATCATATTATTTAAAAAAATAACTCAAACATATATATATACTTAAAGACTCATACCTCAATGTTTATAATTCTACTAAAATCCTTTTATGGTTATTTTCATATTTTTAATTCATAATATTAAATTCAAATTATAAAAAAATAAATTCAAGGTGGTTTAAATGGGGCACTCAATCGTTGCATAGAAATAAATATGAGTTGCTTTTAATCTTTAACAACAAGATGATTAATCCCTCTTGCTTATGGCTTAGTTGTGAATTTCATCCCTCAACTTATGGCTAAGTTGTGAATTTCATCCCTCGACTTCCCAAACACTGAAAGTTAATCCCTCAACCTTACAAAATCTTTGTTAAATATTACGGTTAAACCTATGTAGTAAAACATCTTTTCGATAATTCCTCAACTAGATAATGACATTAAATCTTTTTGCGAAGTCCTAGTAGTAACTATTTTAATTCAATCAGCATTTCTTATAAAAAGAAGATATTATCGAAGATTTGCTCCATGTTATCTAAAAGTTTGATTGATAGTCATTCGGAGGTGATTCCAAGGAAAGAAAACGACAATCACATAGCAAACTAGCTGTTATAACTAAACAAAACAAGATATTGAAACCCAAAGATCAAAGTTCAATATTCTTGATAGCCTAGGTTTCTCAAACGAAAACAATAACTGGTCAACAAACCAATAAGACCTTCACTACGAAAAATCGTAGAACTACAATTACCTTAACTCCACTACATAAACAAGTTGGGCCTTGACGCCTTGTAGGTTGTCTTTAGCTTCCTGGTAGGTGGCCTCACCTTCTTGACCACCAATGGGAACTTGATTTTTGAGTTGTGGAACTGTTTGCTGTTGTCCCTCTTGCATAGTTTAGCCGTGATGGTTGCGGTCTTGATAATCTGGATGCAGGGGAA